TGCATCAAGTTCTGGTTCCATGTCCTGTCTCGGCTACCCTCTTCCATTGAGTCTGCTCATCTGCACCTGATCCTGTTTGCTCCTGTGCGTGACCACCTGGTCACGCTTTCGGACCCTGTCAGACTCTGAACCCTCCTGGGAGCCTGTGGATGCCTGGAAGTCTGGATCCTGCCTCCTGTTTCTGTCCCTGCCTGATCTGGATCCTGTCCCTGTCTGTTCCTGTCTGTTCTGGATCCCTGACCAGGATCAGCTTCCAGCATGTCCTCTGGGACTGCAGCACTTGGGGACATTCTACTAGGACTGGACTGTTAAACCAGGTAAGTGGCCAACTCAGATAATCATCCTATGTCAGATGATCGTGGTCACTTACCTGTGTTTCTCCTTCAGAGTTCTGTGATTGGGCAGTTCCCCGCTCCCCATCCTGCAGTGTCCGTGACCCACAGCTCCACTTCGGTTTTTGTTAATTTAATAAACCTTTTTGAACTTTCCTACTGACTGTCTCTCCTTGAATACTGGGTCCATCTGTCCTTGTTTCATGACAATCACTGGTTATCCATACTGGTCTTAAAATGCCCCTCCCCTGCATGTTATAGGTGTTTCTCTGTTGCACCAAACCCTATTCAGTAATTGCATGACCTCCTCAGCACCCATCAAATTCAAAAGAAACATGTTAATAAGTCAGTCCCATTCAGTTCAACAATACTATATAGTCCTAAAAAATAACTTCCAGTACAGCCCTTTCAAGAAGACAAATACACAGACATTACACATGGGGCACATGGCATCTGGGGTATTGCTGCCATTCCTTCATATAAGTCATAGTGTGGCAGCATGAGGACACCTACGACAAGCAAAACAGTAGTGCTTGAGAACCAGAATTGAGCACCACTGATTGTTGATAGTAGAATGGTTAGAGATTCCCCTCCAACTACACATGTGTTGAAACAAATATCTCCCAACATGCAATATTTTCCATGTTGAAAAATGTCCTCCAATTTCAAACATTAACTCTTTTCACTAAAGTAATTGTTGAACTATATTTAGCGACTTTTGACACATTTTTACACACTACACATAAGATCAACCTGGAACATGTTTAAATTATAAAGCAAATACTAAAATATTGTAGAACTGGAAAAAAATGGCATGTGGTATTGATAGCTTCTTTAGTGTAATAATTCATATCAGCCTCTAGAGGACAGTGTCCAACAGGTTAAAGAGGTGATGATGAACAAAGAAAAATGAGCTTTTTGTGAACACCTGTGTCTAAGAGAGGTCTGTCTTTTTCAGTATTCACTGTCTAAAAACATCATTCATTGAGTGAAAGAACAACTGCATCTACAAACACACACATACACGCACTTTAGATAATATAAAAGTAATTTACAGGTGCATTTTGTGAGGAGTAGAAGACTTAGTGAGGCGACATGACAAGTATCAAAGAGTGGAAAACATCACACAGACTGTTGTCATAACAACATATTGCAATGAACGCCATGCACCATCTGCTCCGAGATTTTTGAGATGCATCAAGAGGACGAGCCGACAAATAATTATTTCCCGGGAATAAGAATTAGACTGAATGATACAAACGATGCCCCTTAAATTCAGTGATGAAGTTTTGTTTTGAGATCTCAGTTGGACATTATCTGACCCCTGATGCAGCATCACGTCAAGGTCAGATCCGGGAGCTTTATGTAGCACTTCCTATAGAAAATGACCATTGAAAACATGGCTTTATTTCAAGTGATCTATCAGGGGAACTGAAAGTAAGAGAAGATAGAAGAAGTTATTTTATTGCTCAGTGTTCTTGGGGCCAAACGTCCTAATTTATGGCTGTTAGTGGTTCCAACACAAATTAATCAGACACATTAATCTGCATTCAAACCGGGCGCAGGCTGACCTTGAGTGTTTCACCTGAAGTATGCGTGCTGCATCCATTAAGTCAACGCGATGTAAAACCATCTCACAGCATCAGCGTGAAGTGTCTATTACCACCGTCTTATTTCCTGTTTATATGGCAACTGCCTCAACATCCTGTTTTTAATTACTTCTCTCCGGCAGCAGATGCTTCTCGCAGCAACCTGCTGTGGATTACTCCCCTGAGAACTAATGTGCTGTGACAGACCCCACTTTTCCAATCAATAACTCGCCCTAAATCTGCCATCTCTCTGCCTGCCAAACACACTCCCACTTCTAATGGCACATCATTTTCTTTAAGGGGGTGTAATTGCGTGCTGTGGAAAAGCTGCAGCCTCTCTGTGTTGTTTTTTTTTTTTTTTCTGTTCCGACCACGCTCATACTGTAAAAAGAAACATAAAAGTACAGAAACTATACAGCAAACAGGAAGTGATGAGGGGCTTTTCACAGCTTGCAGACTCGCCACCCCCAGCTATCAGATTTGACAAACTTATTCACTTCCCTATTTTGACTGTAAGTTAAGACATTTCTACACAGAAGTTACTTTCACTTCACAAACCTGTTGATGTGAGCGGATCAGGATGTTTGTTTGATTAACACGGTAAGTTTTTACCCTATTGTCACTCAGATTCCCTTATTTTTACTGATTTTGTTCAGGTTTAGTTGTTACGGGGGTGAGACATTGTTTATACCACATCCTTAACATGTCTTCTACTACTGATTTAAAATACACGTGTTTTTAAGCTTTCCTCTTTAATTCTTTTGGGATTTAATTACCTTTTATTTAGTTATAAGTGCAATTCAAATGAGTACAAAAACCATAAAGGGGGAAAAAGTGAGTTTCTTGTTGAACTTTCCAAACACAATATTACTAATAACTAAAATTTATTTGTGTATATGCCTACCTTCTGTTTGTGTTTTAGTTTATTTCTTTTCAAACTGCTTTTCTTATGTAGTTAGTTTCAGTTCCGATTACGGTAGTCTCATTGCATATGAAAATAAATATTCTACTTACTGACTGTCATGTTCTGTTACCCGTAAAATAGAGCCATTTCCATATTTAGAGGTGGTAACTTTCTATTTCAGTCACTCCTTCTTTCCCTAATATGTCTATTATTTTTAACTCTTGCATGTCACAAACCAAATTAAAAGGAGAGGAAGTGGTTTATTTTAAAGTATTTACATTTTCTCTTACAGATATAGTCAGTTTGGATAACTGTTATCAACATGTAAGTTGTTTTATTCGATCAATTGTCTTAATTGTTTCCATTACTATATATTGTGGAAATGTTTTTGAATTCTTCTTGTAACTGCTGACAGCTCTTTATATGCTTTTTCTGTGTATTTATTGGTCTTTTTTAATGATCTCTAAGTCATGAAGGTTTGCAGATTAGAATTTTGTCCTCCCTCCTCTGATTCTCTGTAAAAATTTTGAGAAATCTTGAGCGTTATTGTCTAATCTTATCTAATCTTAAATTTATTAAGGTTGCAATTTAAAAAAATGAAATAGTCTAGAGAGCTGTACTTAACAAAATGTCTTTTTGTTTACACTTGAGTGTAAAAAGTGACAAAATTAAATCTGTCTAAGTCTAATATACTGGCCGGCCAAACTGAGTTGCACAGGGCATAAAGCTCAATACTCTTGTTTAAAACAGACCTGACCAATCACAGCATGGGGCCAATAATGAACAGCGCTTTTCGGAAACAAACAGTCAAGATTGCAGCTGTGTTGGGACTATATTGATGCTTTTTAGTATGCCCCAGAAGAGATGTTTATATTGCTAAAATTTCAACAATTTGCTGCTGTAAAAGGTTTTCATTAAAAAATATATATATTTTTGTTACACATTTGTACTTATTTGATTGGTTATAAACTGTTTCCACTGACTCTCCTTGCCCTACCTTTGAAATGCAGCTCTACTAGTTCCTTTTCAGAAAAACAAACAAACTGACTAACTAACTAACTAACTAACCAACTAACTAACTAACTAACTAACTAACTAAC